TTGAGTAAACACCTTGGCCACTAATCGTGCTTTGTACCATTCAATTGTTCCATTTGCTTCCTGCTTAATGGTGAACACCCACTTACACCCTACAAGCTTTTTTCCACTAGGAAGAGGAACCAACTCTCAAGTGTTATTCTTGCTTAGAGCTTGCATCTCTTCTACCATAGCTACTTTCCACTTAGGATCATCAATAGCTTCCTTCCAACCCTGGGAAATACATACACGCAAAAGCCAAAGACGAAACAAAAGCACGATATGTAGAAGATAATGAATCATATGACACAAATTTAGAAATGGGAAGTTGAGTACAAGCTCTAACCTCCTTCCTAAGAGCAATAGGAAGACTCGAATCATCGATAATAGGACTATCAACTACAGATAAAGGAATTGAATGAGGTGCATTACCTGGAACTGGCATGAGGGATGATGGTGGCACAAGGAAAGCTTGCTCTTTCGGACGCCGAGAATAAGTCTTAAGATCAACCCTGTCCAAACGACCACCAATGTCAGGCGCCACATCAAGAGAACTATTAGGCTCCCCCTCACCACAAATAACAGTCCGCTTACTAGGAAGGAAAAAAGATAACTTGTGTTGATAGGCCATCTCCTCATCCGCAATCTCATCCATAACACTACTCTCCTCCGGAGGAGATGGTAGAGAAGAAGAAAAGAAGGCTTCTGATTCACGGAAAGTGACATCCATACTAACATACACTTTGCAAGTGTGAGGATCATAGCATTTGTAACCCTTTTGAGTAGCAGAATAACCAATAAAAACACAACGCACAGCTTTAGGATCAAGTTTACCATGAGTATGAGGTTGCAAATGAACAAAATACACACCTAAACACTCGAGGAGGAAGAGAAGAGGTGGGATATGCTACAGGAAGTAGTTGAAGAGGAATCTGGAATTGAAGGACACTGGAAGGCATACGGTTAATAAGGTAAGCAGTGGTAAGAACAACATCACCCCAAAAAGACTTAGGGACATTCATGGTAAACAAGAGAGAGCAAGCAACTTCAAGAAGATGGCCATTCTTGCATTCGGCAACTCTATTCTGCTGAGGAGTACCAACACAACTAGTCTGATAAATGATGCCATTCTCCTCTAGGTATGCTCAAAAAACTCCATCAACATACTCAATTCCATTATCACTTCGAAGAATTTTGATTTGAGCATTAAAAGATTGGTCACCATTTCATGAAAAGTTTTGGAAACAAGAAAAAACTTAACTCTTAGTTCGAAGCAAGTAAATCCAAGTCACACAGGAATAACATTCAATAAATGTAACAAACCATCAATACCCAGAAGTAGAAACCACAAGGGAAAGGCCCCACACACTGATATTAATAAGCATAAAAGGAAAAGCACTTCTTTGATTAATTGAAGGGTAACAAGTACGTTTATGCTTTGTAAGTGCACAAGCATCACAACCAAAAATACTCATAAGACAATCATGAACTAAAGAAGGAAAAAGTTTCTCTAAAACACTAAAGGAAGGATGACCCAAATGGCGACGCCACTGATTAAGGAGATGAAAAGGAGAGCCAGTAGTACACTTGAGAGCCTGAGATGGGACAACAGGAAGAACGGCATCCAGAAAGCACAGTCCACCTTGTGTTCTACTATTGCCAATCGTTTTCCCAGTAGCCAGTTTCTGAAAGACACAAAAAGTAGGAAAAAAAGGTCACTAAGCAATTTAGAGAAGTAGGACTACTAACAAAAAGCAGGTTAGTGGAAAAAATAGGAACATGAAGCACAGATGAAGGAGAAAGTAAAGATGAACAATGAATCAAACCCTTGCCAGAGACAGAGGATAAAGTGCCATCAGCCACTCGAACCTTGTCTCTAAGGAGAATAAGAATAGAAAAGACTAGAGGCACCTATCATGTGGTCGGTGGCACCTGAATCAATAATCCAAGAAGGCAATGAGGATGTACTAAGAGCACTAGCAAGAATACCTGTGTGGGCAAATTTGGAAGAAGCTGGAATGGAAGAAGCTGTGGTAGAAAGAGAATCAAGTCAAGCCATCAAACGCCTAAGAGTGTGTACAAACCATATAACGCCTTTTCAACCAAGGACTCGCAGCAATCTCTGACACATGGGATTGGGGACGAGTTGTACTACCCCTACCCCGACCCCAAGTAGGGTGACCATTCAATTTCCAACAATGTTCTCGATCATGTCTGTCTTTCCCACAATAATCATACTTCAATCAATCTCGATCAACCAGTGTACCTAGAGTACCAAACTGAATCGAACTAGGCCGAGGAGCTCAAGTAGGAGGAGCAACAAACAAAGCAAAACGATCCTAAATAGAGGAATGAACTATAGCACTACATCGACTCTCCTCTTGTTGGACAAGGGCATAAGCCTCGCGAAGGGTGAGAAAAAGGGAACGACCCAACACCTGGACACAAATTTGATCATATTCCAAGTTCAAGCCAGTAAGAAAGTCATACACACGCTCCTTCTCCACGGTTTGCTGAAACAAAGTGGCATCCCAAGAACAAATAGCCTGGAAGCTTTGGTAATAGTCTAGTGCCTACCACAAACTACTCAACTCAGCATAGTATACTGCGAGTGATCTATCCTTCTAATCTAAGCTCCGAAGCTTCTTCCTCAACTCATACGTCTGTGCATCATTACCCTGTTGGGAGCTTAGTAGCAGGAATCGTTATAGTAGGTGACGATTTTTTGCAAAAAACGCGATTTTGCATTCCCGAATCAGAATAGTGTAAGAAACGTGATTCTTAAGAAAGAAAATCGCGTTTTGGTATGAGATGAAAACGTTTGTGAAAATCAAACAACTCCAGATGCAGAACCTGAACATGTTGCAGCTCAAGAGGGTGAAATTGAAACCCTAGATTGAGGTATGTCCTCCTACTTTCATCACTTTGAAGGGCATCTCTCTCTCTCTATGTGCTTTTCATCTCTCTGTAGTAGTTCGTCTCTCTCCCTCTCTCTCTCTCTGATTTTCCCTCTCTTGCTGCTTGTCTCATCTCTCTTTTCCTTTTTATTTATTTTTTCTTTTTCTTCTCATGAAAGCCTCTCTCCTTTCCTTTTTATTTATTTTTTTCTTTTTCTTCTCACGAAAGCCTCTCTCTCTTCCTTTTTATTTATTTATTTCTTTTTATTCTCATGAAAGATTGAATATACTTTTTTTTATAACAAAAACCTACCTTTTTATTTATTTATACTTGAGACCCTCTCTTTTTTTCAATTTTGTTCATACAAAAAATTTACAATAATGATGTGACAATGTTATTATTATAAATAAATGCATCTTCAATAATGTTTTGTTATAAAGTGAATGCATTACGGTGCCCAAACTTAGTGATATATTTTGTCTATCAAATGGGAATTTATAAAATATTTATATTTTGGTAGTAACTCTACTTTTTTTCATTTATAACATATATATATATATATGTGTGTGTGTGTCAATTTATTTATTATAAAAAATATGTACATGTATTTCAATTAAAAATAATAAAAAAATTATATAGATAAATTAAAAATATAATTAATAAAAATAATACATATGCGCTCCTAATCTGCGACTCCTCTAAGTAGCCACGTTCCCCTGCTCCCGCTTCGTGCAACTAAGGTTGAGAGTACATCTGTGCCGCAGCTGTCCAAATCTTATGAGCAGTATCCAAGAAAAGAAATGACCGACTGATGATGGACTACATAGAGTTAATGAGCCAGGTCATAACCGAAGCGTTCTCAGAAACCCATTGAGTACGCAAAGCGGCATCATTAGCAGGCTAGGAAAGGTCACTGGTAATGTAGCCAGTCAAAGGGCAAGCAGCAATAGCAAGGCTATAAGAATGGGACCAAATCAGATAATTGGAGCTATCAAGTTTCACAGAACTGATTTGAAGAGAGGGACTATCATTAAGAGTCATAACATGATGCACACCACCCTCTTCACTAACCCTAGGGTCTTTATCCTCAATTTCAGACATTAATCCCCACGATAAATAACAGTCCAGGAAGCCAACAACAGTGCCAAAAACTCAACAAAGGACCAGGTTGATACCTTTACATACTGAAACAGAGCCAAAAAAGAGCCAGGAAAGCAAAATACGAACAAAAACTAAGAGAAACCTCACCAATTCTTCAAAACAGTGACTCTAGCCTCCTCTAATGGTCTAGTCGGCTCCCAAGAAAAGGGAAGGAAGGGAAGAAACAACCCTAAAAGGGCTCAGCAATGGCTTCTGAAAAATAGCCATTTTTTCCAAAAAATCAACAAAAATTGGAAAAACCACCAAATAATTACCCAAAAAATTAAAAGAAAATCATGGGGAAGAAGCCCATGAAATTTCGAACATG